ACATCCTTAGCATCAATGTCATCTGAATGTGCATTATATATATATTATCTGTTATGTTCCTTGTAAGAAACGGCAATTTGGTGTACATGGTGTTGGTAGCTACACCACTGGTTTTTGTAGTGATTCATAGGAAGAATGAAACTTTTAAGAGGGCATCTCTATTCTTAACAGATCCCATAACATATTAAATAAAAAATTTTTCTCTAGCCTTACATTCATCTCTTTTAAGCAAGCTCTATTATTTTTTAGTGAAAAATAACACTAGTAAGTTACAGGAATAACCTTTAAGAAATACAAATTTAAATCTTCTTGTAGTTTATCTGGTTAGAATATTTTTAAACATGTTACATGGTTTTGTGTTTGTCTATTTCATCAAAAATAGAGATCTTTTTTATGATTATTGTGAACACTGAAAAAGAACATTTTAGATTTAGCAAAGTTACTTTCAGCTGTAGTAAAATAAATTGTTTTATATTCAATGCTAAAAGAAAATGGAAGGAGGGACATTAACTATCAGTCTTGGATCATGGATGGAACTACCAAACCTACCTTTCAGAGACTGGAATTCAATACAACACAGGTGAGTTGGTACTAATTTAGTGAATATGCATGTTAGTAATTATATAAATAATATTTATTTCTTTGTTCTTGTAGGGCAATATTTAGTTTTCTTTAATACATATTCCTAATAAAATTCACATGGTTTAGGTTCAGTATGCAAATTTCAGACCACGTATTTGTTTTAAATTCTCAGAGTATCCAAACGGGTTCTTCCCTTGCGCATCATTCTGGGAGCTTTAAAACCATTTGCAACGAGTACAATTTAGTTTCAACCCGGATTTGTCTCATATAATTTTTCCAACAATTATACTGTGAGAGAGTTATTATGACATATTAAAAATTCTGTTGTTGTTATTGAGCACAAAGCTACACAATGGGTTATCTGTTCCTTGCCAATCACATGCATCAAAACTTGATTTTTAGCATTAACCCCAAGACCTATTGCTAAGTCACCAGAGTATTGAAAAAAAGTATAATGGTTAATATGAAAACATAGAATATTTCACCACAAGGTAAAATTTTTAATGAATCATATATGTTAAAAAAATTCCAAATAATTAAAGATACATTAATAAGTAGTGCAGCTTAAAACAGTTGAGTCATTTTCAGTGCTTGAAATTTATTAAAATTACGGAGTATAGGCTTTTATTTAATTTTATCCTTTTCCTTTCCAAATTAGAGAAAGAAACTGCCTTCCTGGAATACGACAGAATAGAGTTAATGTTGAAAGTGTAGCTCACTATTACAGAGACTATGTAGATATTATGGGTCTCAGAAAATTTTTTGTTAATCAAACAACAGTAACATCTGTACATCTAGTTGGAACAGATTGTGAAGGAGAAAAACTAAACCCAAGAATTTGTCAGCTGTATCCACTATGGAAAGTACAAGCTCAAAGTGTTGAACAGTGTCAAGATACTGGAGAAGTGAAAACTGCAGATTTATCTTTTGTCACACCACATGTTGTATTAGCAACAGGTAATTCAGATCAACCAAATACCATCGATGTACCAGGAGAGAATCAACCATTTGTTCTCCACTTTCTGTCTGACTTGGAAAGACTTCTGCTGCGTGGCCAGTTAACACCTGAATCTGGAACTGTACTGATTATTGGTGCTGGTCTTAGTGCAGCTGATGCTATTATAGCAGCTCGTTTTCATGGTATTTCCATTGCTCATGTTTTCCGTAGAGATGTCGATGATCCTGAACTTATATTCAACAAACTTCCTCAGAACATGTACCCTGAATATCACAAAGTGAATCAAATGATGGCAGATCATTCCAAAAGTTATAGAGGTTACAAGCCATATCCAGCTCACAAAATTACATCTATCCTTCCAAACCATGAAGTTGTTCTTGAATCCATCAAAAGTGGTAATAAGTGTGTAGTTCATGCAGCGTATGTTTTGGTTCTAGTTGGAATGCATCCTGACTTGTCTTTTATGCCAGATTCTGGTAAAAGCATAGGAGTTTTGACAGATGAACCAGTTAATTGTAGGACAAACCATATTGAAATTCATCCATACACACACGAGACTGTTAGCTACCCAGGAATTTTTGCCATGGGACCTCTTGTTGGAGACAATTTTGTTAGATTTGTCCAGGGAGGAGCCCTTGCAATAACTAGTTACCTCCACCGAAAAAAAAAGAAAAAAGCCTTATTTCCTCTTAGTAGTTAATTAAATACAAACTATGTTATAACAGGGTTCTAAAATCTGGCTTTGTGTTAATTGTTTTCTGCTACTTCTGAACATTAGTGTCAACTGTATTCAATCAATGCTTTAGTATCTGCCAACAGTTATATTGACCTCCAGAAATAAGTTATTCTTCAAAGTTCATACTTTTCCAAGATTCAGTCTTAATATATTTTTCTAGTTTGAGAGTGTTGTCCATTTTCTACAAGCTTTTTGTACACAGCCATCTTTTGATACAGTAATGACAGCTGTTTCATGGAAACAAGGTTTTAATTTTTTCTTGTGAAAAAACACCAACAAAAAACCTTAAAAGATTTACTAAGTTTTTGTTGTACTAAGATGCTTGTCTTTAATGCAACAGTTCTCTTTAACTTGTAGAAAATAAAGATAAACATTCAGTTGATTTAAATGTTTCATTATAGTTTATTTGAAAACAGTATTTTCAGGTTTAATTTTTATCAGTAATTTCAGCAATTTTTTTTTATTCTAGGCCACATTGCATCAAATATTTCAGATGAATAGGTGTTTATATCTTTAAATACAATCTTTGAATCCCCAGTATTAAAGTGAACTTAATAACATGAAGGGTCATGTCATTTGAAATTATTTTACTCTCAATTAAATATCAAACCTTGTAAGATTTATTAGTGAAATGCAGAAACCTTGTTTGTTATCGATGAAAGTTTTGATCAATGAAGATGAATCCCAGCTGATAATCTATGGGTGATTTTTGGTAGGAAGCAAGTTAAACTAATTAATACATGTCTTGTTAAATTTAATGTTTAAGTAATTTATACAACAAAGTTGTTTGTATAACCAGTAACTGGTATTTACTCAGAACATAATAGTTTAATCATTGATGTTCTAATACCTATTTAACAAAACATCAGTTGAAACTTTTCTGTAGCTGTAATTTAAATTTAATTTCTAAAATTGTTTTGAAAATTTGGTTTGCTACTGTTGCATGTAAACAGCTTAACACAAAAATTGATTATTATTATAACATATTTAGCTATAAAGTTGGTCCAATTGTTGTTTAATTTGTTTAGACAAATATATTTAACTATTCTGTTAGAATAATTAATGCAAAACTCAAGCACCAATGATTTTACAAGTTTTCTTTCCAACTGCTCAAAATGTGCACCTTTGGTATCACAATAGGCTTACTTCCACATGTCCATGCACAGGAGGGATGAGAGTGTGCATGTTCCAATACAGAATGCCATTCAACATGGTATTATGAATTGCTGTCATCAATATTTCATTGTTACCCTGCTGATTTCACTACAGTTCATGTTAGAGGAGAGTAAATACAATACACAAAAATACTGAAAAAAAGTTATATATGAATTTAGAAGATTGCAGAGGTAATGCAAATTGTACAGTAGACAAAAGTATTTTTATTCTTCATATAAATATTGCCTTTCGTCATGACTTGTCTGATTCAGACTGACTGTCATTTTCCAGATGTATATCTAGTAAAAATACTTTTATAACACAACCGACTTGTATGTTTTATAAAAAGCTTGTCACATTTCGTGTAATGCACATTGTAAATTTGGAATATAGTAAACATTCCTTCTTCAATACAGGGTCCAACAGACTGATCTCATGCACTTTTGGTTATGTCCTCAACCATGAAACTACGTATTTGTGAAAAATATCCAGTAAAAACAATCTAGCTCTTTTTTTTTTTTTTACTGAAGATTAGATTTAATTTTTTGAAAAGTATAATAAAAGTAATGTAATATTATTTTTACATGAATTTCCTTCGAGGACCACAGATCACAAAAAAATGTCCAACAATGAAACCAAGAAGTGTACAGTCTCCAAAAGCTCGGTGTAACTTAAGTGATTCTAAAAAAAAGCGATTTTCATCACAAAATCCAGTAGAATTATTTTATAGGTATAATTCTTTCCTTCTTAGCTTGCTTCTTTGGCAGCTTCTAATTTAATCAATAAAAACAGTTTGAAAATTAACTTTCCTGATTTTTTATTTTTTTTTGTTCTTGTTTTAATCAGTACATTTCTTAGTCAAACCCACGACTCTGGCCTGGCTGAGAAACAGCCTTACATTTATGGCCTATTAACATCTTTGTAACCTGAATAAAGTATACCAAGGACAACTTTACCTCAATAAAACTACACTGAATGAAAAATTTAGCCAACTACAATGCCTTATTTCAGGAATAATATCAGTAGAGAGAAAATAACTATGCTTATCTACTTCCAAGAATTCTATTATGCTTCATAACCTGCCACTGAAAAGCCACAATAACAGAAAATGCTGTAGAACAAGCAAAAATATTTGTAAATCTGTCATAAAAATAAAACCACATTCATTGAGTAGTCTCAACTTATCTCCATTGTTTATATGTTTTGCCTTTTTTTTTTAATTAGCTTTCCTGCACTGATCAGGTCATTCAACTTATTGTACAATTTCTATTTTGACATTACAAAGTTTCATTTCATGATTTTTCATTTCTATGGTATCTCTAAAATTCCTGAATTGTAAGCATATAAAAATACAAACAAATTTTATGTTTTTGGTTCTTCCTATAATTGTTTTTCATTAGCTCATTCAATTGTGAATTTATTAGTTAAACTCGCATTCGTAGCTGAGAACTAAAGCTAATAACTATTAGAAAGAGCAAATTGTAAGTGTTATGTGTTAATAGTATTATTACAATATCAGGTCCTCAGGAAAACTAGAGAATTATCATTCCTCGATAAAGATAAGGTTAGAATATTTAAGTTTAACAAGAACAGCAAAACTAATCAGATGACACAAGTCCTTTTTTTATTAAACATAGTTAAATTAGTTTTAATAAAACAATACACACAAATACAAGAAATTATAAAATAACAGTATAATAAAATTATCATATAAAATGATTTTAGAAAGGAAATATTTTCTTTTTGCAAAATATCACATTACAATATTTGTTAAGTATAACTGTAATGCCATCCTAAAAACATAAATAATAACTTCGATCCGAGTAACCCAGCAAAAATCAACTTGACTAACAGTGTTGCTAATTAAATATACCTTTCTTATGTTTCTACTTATAAAGATTAGAATGCATTGTTTCATAAGCTGGTACCTTTGTTGTTAATTTTTATTTTAGGCCATAATTCCAATAATAATCAGCCAACTTAGGCTAATTGTACTTTTTATAATAGAAGTATAATAATAAACTACAACTGAAACCTAGCTATATTCGATATATGAACTAGTATAACCAATATTATTAATGAAAGGAACAATAAACAAAATAATGTACCTTTCTTATGGAGCCCATAGACATGAAATAGTTCTTGATGTTTGTTTGTTTGTTTGCTTTCTTTAACATTGTATTTAAACTGTAAGAACCTCAACTATATTAACATCAGAAGCTATGTAAATTAAACGTATAATTATAACTTATAAAACCATGTTGGGTACGTAGCATCGTTCTCCACAGCACAAATAAAAACCAATATTATGAAGATACAAAATAGTAAGTAACTAACGTAATCATTTTAACATTACAGTGTTAAATGTAGTCGGAACAATACAAAGAGCTAAAACTTATTACCAGTCAGACTTATCTATCCACTTTAAACAAACATGTAGAAGTAATAAATAAGGTTCAGTCTTCTCTGAAAGTTGAAAAGGAAACACGTAAACCTCTAGAAGTACAAAATTTATATAAAAATATTGTATGTACAAAAACACAATATTGTCATTATATGACAAAGAAAGTAAATATAAAACTAATCAAACTGTTTAATGTTAAATTTGGCTAATATTAACTACATAAAACTAAAACTAATGATGGCCAATAAAACACAGCTGTTTAATATCACCCCAAATAAATGCATATAAACTGAAAGTTTTAGAGGTTATGATACTTTAATGATAATGTTGTTGAATTTTTTACAGAATTGAATGAATTTTATGCATAACTTTTGAAATGAGAAATGCCAATTAAGAAACACTAGTTTATAAGCTCTGTCCACAAAATCTTATAATGATGATCAAAGTCTATTGTGTCTAATAAACAGAGTCTTAAACATCATAAAAAAAACTTTGAATATTTGTATTTAGGAAAGTTTATGACTTCAAATTCAAAAGTATCCATTTTACTGAAATGCTGAATGTGCACTTTATAATGGTGATATCTAATTCTAGGTAGTTTGTTTTGTTTGTGGAAGAGCTTTTTCACTAGAGTCAACTCTAGAAGATAAATTTGCAAGACTGTGTCTAGAAAACTTTGATAACTTGGTACAAGAATATCACCTGCATATCTACAAGAGCAACTGATGTAAAAAACTTTGCTATATTCTATCTTAGGTTTGTATTATATGAATTTTCTAGCCTAAATAAATACAGACCCTCAACTTTTAGACTGAATTTATCTCCCTTTGGAATTCCTTGTATCTGTTGGAAGACATGTTGGCCAAATAGCAAAAATGTATTCTCAAGTAAATAATTCATGGTTTACAAGAATCCATTTACTGTGAGTGAAACTGTTATAGAAAGTTCTGTGTTTACTAACACAAAGAATAAATATTCTCAAATTATTAAATGACCTGGACACTGTCGATGAAAGACCGTTTACTTTTGTCAATGGGAGTGACTGATGTAAACATTACTGAAATGAAATCTCTCTACTTTTATAGCTTCAAAGTCTTTCTCATCACATCCAAAGGAATTACCAATGGTTATACACACATTAAAACCTACTATCTCTTTGAAGATTGCAGTATTTTCTTAAATGCCGTTTAATGTATTTCAGACCATTACCTGTCACAACTGAAAATTGCATCCTTAGCATCAGCAATAAATCTGTATTTGTAAAGTGTTTTATGTAATTTGAGAATCCAAAAACAAAATAAATGTATTCAATGATTCTCTCTATGTAGGTTTTAATGTGTTTGTAAACTTCATTCCCTGAAGGTTTTAGTTGTGTTTAGATTAAAGTTATTCATTGCCTATACATTTTTCCCAATCAGTGTTTACATGATTTATGGTGGGAAGTTGGCAAACAACTTAAAATTATCGGATTTACAAAATGGAACTTTCTGATGGTCAATAAAATAGTCAAACATAAGAAACTAATTTTTATTCCATAAATGTTAAATCACATTTTATAAGTTATTTACACAGTAATTAGTCATAATCTTAACATTTTTACTAATTTTAATGTAATTTGGTTATTTACTTTAGCACCCATGTAGTGTGTGAAGTATTAGAAGAAATGATTTTTTAAAAATCCACTACAACATAACATCTTTGTAAAGTGAAGATTTATTTCTATATTATAATGGTTCACTTTTTTTTCTTTTTGAATAACACATCATTGTACATTTATCTTCATAAACATTCATGAAATAAGTAAAGGGTTTTAATATACTAATAATACATAATAATACTATACATAATAAGTCATATACTGTTTTCACCATAATCTCACACCTCTTTAATTAAACACTAATAAATTCAAATATCTTGCTACATAGTGTTGTAGATATTTTAAAAGTACAAAAAACAAAACATATATCTGGAAGGTATTAGTATTTTCTTTATACAATTTGTATGCATATGTTTTAATGAAATAGTTATGACATTATCTTACTGACATTTATAACAGTAGCCAAAAGTTTTTATAATTAATCAGATTGGTAGCATAGTCAACATAGCTTTTGTAACAGACATGTCAGCTGTAACAATACACTGCACAAAATAGTATTTACATGATAATCTAGCATTAAGCAGTTGTTGATGCACAAATTCAAGGAATTTAGGTGAAGATCTTAAAAAGTAAAAAATTACACAACTTTTAATGCAATGATATATATATATATAAAATGTCATTAACAGGTTAAATTATTTATTGATATTTCTTCCAGCATTATCAACAATAAATCAATTACTTTTAATAACAAGTCAATTAAACTAAGTGTCTTGGTTTAACATGTATATGAAAATTCCATGTTTCTAGGTTAATGTCTGAGAAAACATTCATTTACATGAAAGTTGGATACTGAAAATTTGATACCTAGGATGGAAGAATCTTCTAGCCAGCTGAAGACTGTCTGGACAGCAACTCAATTTGCTGTGATTTTATATCAGTTTTTATATTACTGTAAGAAGATATTTTTAAAAGAGTCCATAACCAGAACTAAGGCACGTGATTATTGATCACAACAAAATAACTCAAGGTCATTTAACTTCTAGGAGTTATCTGTTCATCCCTGGGCAGAACAGCTAAGGCTCCATGTAACCCTTGACTTTACACGTTTGACTGACATCAACATCCTGCCTTACTGATAAGCTCCTCTAAAAATGTGATACAACTTCCCAACTTCATATCTCACTTTCATTAATTAACATCTTGTCAATATGATAATCAAAATGTCTATCTGCTAAGATAAGACCATATGGCTATTTACAAGATTCCCCAACTGAGAATCTGGCTTTCTAGTAAACACTTTTTGACAATTGCATCCCATTGATGTCTGGTTTCTTTTCTGTTAAAAGTGAAGTTTGTTTACAGACATTTCTTTATTATTACTATGTAATTTAATTATTACTCAATATTCGAAAGTTGTACCTCTTATTGAACTTCATGGAAAATGAATGTTATATTATTGGCTTTGAACAATACCCATCAATAAGTTATGCACTGTGGAGTTCTGAAATGTCAGTGACAAGTAAATGTTCATAGTATAGAAGTTATATGTGTACTTTAATAAGTCTGCTGTTATTGTTTTATATATATATATATATATATATAGTATTAAGGATTATAGTAAATTGTAAATATCAGTGATTATATACTCTAAAGAAGATGTGGGTGTCTTTTTACCATGAAATTGTTGAGTTTAAGGAAAATATAACTTGTACTGTGAATTGAAGTTGTTGTAATTATAGCAAACTAAGTGTTGAAGATATTGATTATGTATGATGAAAAGTAAGTCTCAAATAATTAGGT